GGGCACTCTGGAAAGCATCTGAAATTCAATTTAAAAGGGAAAATGTTTTAAATAAACTCTCATTTAGAATTTCACATTATCAAGACATTGGATTACTTCCAAGCCAGTATTCAATGTGAGGACAGAATATTCTTGCCGCTGAGAGACTTTCAGCTCTTATACTTTTTGAAACACACTGGCTCATAAGTGCACAGCTTATTTTAATGAGTACATCAGAACGAGGCCTGTAGCCATGGTGGAGCTCCTTGGGGCTCATGCCCCACCTCAAATCTGCCCTGGCCCTCCTGCCCTCTACCCCCACCTTGATCCTTTTTTTACTTGGTTGTGCCGTACTCGCCCTCCCCCCAACCACAGCGTGGCACACTCGCGCTCAGGGCCAGCAAGAGACACTTGCTCCCTTGCCTGATGAGCTCCAGCAAGATGGGCTGGACTGGCTGCAGCTGAGCAGGAGGGGAGGGAAAGGGACACCGGCTCCTAGTTGTAGAAGTTGCCGAACCAGCGAAGGGGCCTTGGCAGGGCGGAGGAAGGAAGCTGCCTTCAGGCCTGGGTGGGGCTTGGGAAGGGAGGCAGGCAAAGAAACAAGCAAAAGGCCAAGCTCGCTGGGCAGAGCTTGGCACAGAAATGCCGGCAAATTGCACAAGGACCCACCGGAGCAGCACCCAGCAACAGCCAGGAAAATGCCTTGGCCAAGTTTATTCCCTTTGCTGCTCAGCCTCCACCTCGCCCAGCTTGCCACTATGCCGGTGAAGGGCGGCACCAAGTGCATCAAGTACCTACTCTTTGGCTTCTGGAGCACAGAGGCGACTGGGGACACACACACACACACACAGAGAGAGCAGTGGGACTTGGCTCTCCTGTTGCTGCAGATGTAGGTCATCCTTCTCACTTCTCTGTCTCCCTCCCCTCAATCTAATTAGTGGTGATCTTATTGAGCTGCCCACCTCCCCACTCAGAACTACTATTTCGTACAAGAGTATGAAGATACACAGCAGGGCTAAAATCATGATATTACCTTTATCGACTAAGAAATGCTCATACTGTCTGCAGGTTAACCGACATGAAATTACATGATCACAATATAATTACCTACCGTGCACTAGATCCACAACGTCACAGCAAGGGTCAATGCATCCAATATGCTTTGGGTTGCCCTGAATGTTATTATTATCAAAAATAAGTGCTGCGGAAAAGAAAAATAGATATTTCAAATTATTTAACATAATTTACCAGACCTATCTAACTTTCAGCTTCAATTTTTGATCTCATTTCTGTATGTTCCTTATTCCAAGACACCCAGGTTGGGCATACATCTGATTTTATTTTTCACAACCACCCTGTGAGGTAGATTACACTAATATAAAGTGTTGTACAGAACCAGAATTGGAATTTCAACTCTGGACTCCTTATAGTATCTACTACAGCATACCAAGGTTGCCTTATACAAAATTAGACCTTTGGTCCATCATGCTTAGTACTATCTACTCAAACTGCCAGTGGCCCTACCTATTACCTAATCCTTTAAATTACAGATGTCAGGAATTGATATGACATATTATTTTATTAATGCTATATATATTAGTGTGACATCTCAACTTACTGTGCTGGTTTATTAACATCCGGATAGATATACGGTTCATGTAAAACCGATCCAAGAAGTACTGGATGTTTTGATTGGTGAATGGGTCCATTTTAGAAGAGTCTCTGTATTCTAGAACACCTTGTGCCATTGTAGGTACAACATCATGGTGTCGATTCCGGACTTTGACAATAGCATCTATAAAACTTAAAGGACAGAATAACTTCAGATGTGCCTACATAAAGAAGCCAGAAAACCAAAAATGGCAAAATTAACTTACAATTATATAGATATAATCATTTAACTTTAAACAGAAGCAAAAACAGGATACAAACCAGAATTCCTACACTCCTCCTTCTACAAAAAACTTCAACAGAGCTACTGTAACACTGAGGGGCAGAAATTGCTTACTTCCCCTCAATATTCATTCTGTCAAGGAAAATTAAGCATTCTAATGTTGGGTTGACAGTTTGTAATTTATTGTCAACTTGTTTTATTTCAATGTGTCACATTTCCGAACATCAGGTGTCAGTTACAGTTATACTTGTAAGCTATCTCATTACTACGTAAATCAACAGTATCTGTGTCCAGAACTGAATAAAGTTGAAGTGACTTAACAACAGATGGCAGATAATTTGAACAGAGCAAGATACTGAGAGTATACAACACAGAGCAACTTACTCAGATAGAACTTTGTGGTTATCTGGTTTTTTCTCACGGAACTCAACTAGCTCCATCAGACTTTGGACATACCTATTGAGAGTACAAATATAAAGCAGGTTATCAGTATACGGCAAGAAAAGCTTCTTGCACAGATAAGGTTCCTCAATAAGGCTCTACATTTTAACAACACAAGCTCAAACAGTAAATAACTGAGCAAACAGACTACTGGTGCATGTTACGTTAGGAAAATATTTCAAATTCCTTGCTGCAAGCATTGAAGTTATAAGCACTGATACACCTTGGATTTTGGGTGGCAAGACTGAATGCAGGCTAGATTTACTTTTGTAACTGCTTTTCTGAGAAAGTTGGGTATAGGATGTGTGGTATCATTTGGGTGATAGCATTACATACGTCAAATGGACAGTACAATGCATCTCAATATGTGTACAAAGGGGATTACAATTTGGGTTTCTTTACCTTGACGCACTTAATGGCGTCATCTAGTACAACCTCTTCACACAATCTGATCAACGTGTGTTACGTTCAAGGTCATACTCCCATTGTATTATAAAGTTTGCTTTCCTTGAAGTTTAAAATATAACTGATGCCCTCGTCTCTTTAAAAAACAAACCCTGGTGCAAAAGGTTTGTAACTTACCAGCTTTTTACCAGCTGTACTGAAGAAGTGCTCAGCAATGGACTAGGGAGGAGGTCAATTTCTTTCAGAATATTTGCCAGCCGCACAGGAAGTTCATGCCGCAAGAAGGAAAAAGAGGTTCTTTCACATGCATTAGTTGACCCTATGAAACAAAGTAGTCACCTTTAAGATGTTTCCAACATAGGTATGTTAGTATTAGATTTAATAACACTTGATATACCACCATTATACCCTACAAGTAACTCAGATATTAGCACAAAAGACTAGTCATTATTAAAAAGGGGAAAAAAAATCTTGCACAACTGCAGTAACCCATACAAAATAATCACAGAAGTCCTCAAGTCTACCTATCATGCTTTTTAAAGCTTGCACTTCCCTTGCAGCATACTACTGCATTGTAGATAAGGTCTTACAGAAAAGAACTCTAGTGTAAGTTATCACAGTACCAGCAGTAAAAAAAAATCTGAAAGTTGTAGTTAAAGGGACAGCTCATTCAAGAACAGTGAAATGTATGCCCCATCTAAGATTTGTTTTAGCAGACGGTCCAAACTGCAATACACATTTCCTTTCTTTTAAGATGTTAAAAAAAGAACCCCAATTGCTTTTAGATTTTCCTAAACTGTGTGTGGTATACTTTAAGTTTTATAATTGGCATTAAGAATATGTAGCTTAAAATAGTTCTGGCTTCTTTACAAGTTAAAATGACAGGCCTGTTCAGAAAACAGATACTTACAAACAAAAACCAGCTGTTCCCAAGTGCTCACATCACACAGACTTGCTACCACTAACAGCATATATTGCCAATTTAAAATAACTTGAAGCCACTGCACTTTCAGGTTTTGTTGGAGTGCCCTAAGTTATTCTATTTGCAGCAAATTGATTAAGTTAGATGCTGATGTGTCTGAAACTCTTATGACAATTAGCTGCTGGATGTCTGAAACTCTTATGACATAGGGGGGAAATATTCTACCAACTGAAAACTTGTACCTAAATTAGCAGCAGACCTTGACACTGATGCCTCAAAGGCTACAATACAAAGACTCACTCTATGATTACAACATAATGCTGGCAATAATAAAATACTACCCATGAATATTACCAATGGTAGGGATGAACTGACACAAACTGAGTAGTGTTGAAAATTAATTGGTAAGTTAACATAACGGGATAAACAGATGGTCTTATATTTGGGGATCTGAAATACTTCGAAACTTTCCCTGTCTACTGTAATATGAGAATATGGCAAGCAACCACAGCCAATGGGATAAGAGTGATTCTAAGGATTCCTAGAAAGATTCTGTCACTAAAGAATTTCTTTTTCAAGTTATACTGCTTCCTTGGAGAGCTTTTTTAAAAATAAAAAGTAACAAAAATAGGATAGAAGTCCAGACATCTTTGTCTCCAAATGCTTCACACTTTACTGCATAACAACTTAACAACAGCTACACTGTATTGGAAAAAAGTGTGCTATGAAAAAAATCCAGGTTAATTTTACCCTTATTTCAGTTGACTGTTCAATTGCAACTGCTCAAATTAACTAAATTGTCTCCTCTAGTTTTTCTACATTCTTTCTTGTAGAGATTGTTGCATAACAAAACCATACTGGAATAGCTCCAGTGGTGGAAAATTCTCTGTGCTTAATGGGTCACAGTTGCCATTAACCTCTTGTTTCTGTGCACAGAGCAAGTTTATGCACTATGAAAACTGTTACAAAAAGACAAGGAATTGTTTCTACCCTGAAAACCACAATAAAAGTTTGAAGTTGAAAACATTTGGAAGGGGGGGTATCAAAAAGCCTTATCTAAAATATGCTCATGCAACTGGTGCAAACTTTTTTGCTTTTTAATCCTTGTGAATCACACCTCTAGATAAATCCTTGTGA